GAATGGGATTCTTTGCAGAACAGAGAAAGCCATGTTTCATGTCCCGGGTAGCACAAGTAGCCAAGGAGGGCTTGAGAGAACAAGTAGTGATGGGTGAGCTAAATCTTAATGCAGGAGTTCAATTTTCCTGCGTGGCTGGAGAGAGGAAGGATGTTCCAGTTGTGGGAGTAGCATGGACAAAGAGATGGAAGCTTGAGAAAGTAGTGTTTATGGGAATGGGAATGTTGTGGATGGTTGAAGTGTGAGGATGCAAGACAGACAGGTGGGAGATGACCCTGGAAAGAGGGCAAGGCCAGATGACAAAGTACCTTGTTTACTGTTTAGCTTAGATTTTTCCTGTATCCCCAAAGGAAAGGATTGTGGAATATAAAGCCAATGTCACCAACCAGGAATTCTCATGGGAGTGTTGGGAGTCTGAAAGAACCTCTGACTGGGGATAAAGAAAGTTCCTGCAATTGGCATATTAAAACAAGCACCTTGAAAAATAAAATAAAATAAAATAAGCACCTTGATCTGAAGTTCAGTTTCGTTCCAGCCCTCCCTCTCACTCCTGTGACTCCTCAATTTGTTTCTCTTTTACTTAAGAGGTTAAGGTAGAGGCCACAGGAAAAGTACTTCAGCTGCTCTTCCCAGAGCACCCCCTTCCTCTCCCCACTAATAATAAAAGGTTAACAACACCTTTCTCTGGGGGTTTGCGGCACAGGAAGGAGCCTGCTCTGGACTAGACCCCAGAAGGGGCAATGCAGCTTGCGTTCACACCTCCAAGAAGGCAACATTCCTGGGCCTCTACCCAGTGAGTGAACCCTGACCTTCTCTACTTCCCTCCCTAACTCACCCCCTCCCCCACAACCACCCCTTGCTGCCCCGCACTCCTAAACTGAAGCAGAGGGATTGTGATTCCCCATAACATCTTCACCACAGTTTCCAAACGATGGGGAAATCTGAGGCATTGCAGACGCACTCCCCTTTGCGGGATATTTACCTCCAAGTGCGAACGAGGCAAATGACAGTCCAAGCGCGCACACAAGTAACTTCACCCTCTCCTCAACTACCTCAGCCGTTGCTCCAGGCCTACTCCACACCGGGGTGATAAGCCGCCTGCTCGTCCTAACTGGAGACCCAATACCATCCTTAATTAAGTTCTTTCCTGATGGCTGCCAGGTGCGCCCTTCAGCAGGATGGTGTTAATTCCAGCCTCCGGGAACAGAGACCCGGCCCTCTTCCCCGGCACGTCTGCCCTTGCGCTAGCCCCTACCGGGAAACCCCCCTCCTGAGCCCTACGGCCCCCCTTCTCATGGTCGGGGGAGTTGCTTGTTACGCTGCCAGGAAGTTCACGTCCGTTGCCCACCAGGGCGAGCCCGGCAGGTATATAAGGACCGAGGAGAGCGACCCAGACAAGGCGGCGGCGAAGGAGGAGAAAGGAAGGAAGAAAAGTGACCTAACGGGGCCGCCGAGCATCTTCGCCCGGCGCAGCAGAAGTCGCCCAGAACGCAGCCTCTCTGCAACAGGTAAGGCTACAGCAGCACGGAACCTCGCTCTTACGCCAGCATCCCTGTCCCTGGGCCCCGGGATGCTCTTGCCCAGCTCCCAATCGCTGACTTGAGGTGCCTTAGGCTCGCTGTGGTCCTGACTTCCCAAAACTTTCCGTACTGAGTGCGGCGTGGAAGGCGCCGGCAGAGGTGCAGAGGGGGTCAGCCTCCGGATGGTGGGCAAACAACGGCTGCGGCGCTGAAAGCAGTGCCTTCCAGGAGCGGGCGAGAGCGTCTTCCCCGGGAGTTGGGCTGTTAGGACTCCTGAGATTTCTACAGCCTTCTGGGGGAGATCTCGGTAAAGCCCCGCCTTTTGGCTCCTCTTCCTCTCGATTTTCTTGGGTAGGTGTCACTTCTTAAAAGATACCATGTACTGTAGAGCAAATTGATGTCGGAAATGAGAGCAGGAGAGTAAAGGCTAGAAGTTACCATAAACTCCCTGCATTCCAGATTTCTTTAGATTCAGACCTCTGAATCCTTGTTTCTCTGCCCACCATAGTGCACCCGTTGTGGCTGAGCTCGATTCAGACACGGGTCTCCTCTGTAAGACCCAGCTGGGGTTAAAACGAGGTGGCCCGTGTGGGAACTGTCCAAGGTTCTGAACCACCCTCTGTGTGTGCCCTCAATGGGACAACAGAGTGGACCTTTAATCCTAAAGACCCTAGATTGCAGGGCGGAAGCAGCCCTTTGAGCTGATAGAGGCTTAGGTAAGGGAGGTTTCCAGTGAAGGAGGGAGAGTCTGCAGGACATTTGGATCCCCCCAGTTTTCCGCACATAAACGGGGAGGTGGTGGTTCTCACAGAATGGCTGGAAAAAGCCAAGGAAAGTACGAGTGTGCATTTATTTTGTTAATTGTGAACATATGCACAGATACACCTTATTTAATGTCTTAATATTCCTTCGACACTTTCGTTTTAGGACTTGATATGTGTGTATCATGATGAAAGGAGAAAACGCTGCACCTCTGTTCCTCTAATCTTTATAGAAGGGCATGACCAGTGTCCAGTTTCAGACCGAAAAACACAATGTTTTGCCTAGCTCAAAGAGAATTCACCTACATATAGGCAGTTCTAATAAGTATAGTTCTGTTATAAAGTTAATGTCAAGATTAGTAAATTATAAATTTCTATTTATTTTTCCAAGACTTTCAATTATTGATCATATGTAACACGATCCCTACTTACAAAAAGCACAACACCTGATATCCCCTATTACTCTATTTCTTGAAAAAAAGGACACAAGATAATATTTTCTCATTATAGAAAAATAGAAAATAGACATAAGCAAAAAGAAATCAAATTGCTTTCAGAAAACTAATGTTTTAGCAGTAGAATGGAATGCTGAGAGGGTGGGCAGCATGACTGTTACCATGTTGTAACAGTTGGGGAGAGAGAGAAGAAATGCTCTCTGGGGCTTCTCAGACAGTCCTAAAATCATGAGGTAGGTTGTAAGAAAATGGAAATCATCCCAGAATGGCCAGCCTTGAGGAGAATTGAAGTATAGTTGAGGGGACTTCCAGATCTGTATGATGTTGCTTCTTTCTCTATTAAGATGTTATTTTACACTCGCCCACGGTGATATGTAATGACCATTTTTCTGCCTCTCTTGTAAGTCTGACCCAAATGTGCTGTGTGGCTTCGGAGCTTTAATCTAAATTGCTTTACCCACCAAATCTGGGCTCCATTATTGAACTGGAGCAGCCTGCCCCTGGTCAAGACTGGACACCAAGGTTGATTGATGCTCTCCTGTTTGCCCCTTCAACCTGAGGCTCTCATGGGTCAGCTGACTGGCTGCCAGCGCCATCTAATGGCTGCTCTGAAGTCACTCAGGTTGTGCCTGGCAGTCATTCAAGAAGGGAGCCCTGAGCTGGCTCAGCTTTGGGGGGAAGGAGTGGAGGCGGGGCAAAGAAAAGGAAATGCTTTCTGAACTAGACAATGAAAGCCAGAGAGAACTTTCATTTCCAAAACCTTACCCAGAAAAAAGATTTGGCCACCCCTCCACAAATAGGAGGTTTCTTTAAGGCAAACATTTTAAAATGCAAAAGTTCACTAGGACAGATCAGAAAATCAGCCATCCACACCTTAACGTTAATTGCTTTTCTCAACTTAATTAGGTGTCCTTCTACAGCTGGTTGAGCTCTTCTGAAACCCAAAATGATTGTGGGTTGGTGTTGAGCTAATGACCAAACTCAGGGTCAACTCTGGAAGTTGAACTGGGTGAGGGGTGAAAGGAGACAAGGTAGTGGGAGAAGTAGGGGAAAGTGTTGGGCACAGGAGGCAAAGGGCAGCACCAGTGCTCCCTTCTTTACTGCAATCCTGACCTCTTGACTTCAGCATCTGCTGAGAGATAATTGCTGACTTCCCCCAAAGTATCTTTGGTGGGTGTTCACATTGGGGGGTGGGTAGTTCTCTTCTTTTTTTTGTGTTTACCTCCTTCTTTTCTACACTTAGAGCACCTTCAAGTCCAGCTAGTTCAGACTACATTTGAGGGACTCCGAGAACAAGAGGAGGTCCAATATGTAATTTATACAGAAGATGAGCCAGTTTTGAAATGGGGATGCTTTAAAAATAAATATCATCAGGGGCACCTGGGTGGCTCAGTGGATTAAGCCTCTGCCTTCAGCTCAGGTCGTGGTCCCGGGGTCCTGGGATGGAGCCCCGCATTGGGGTCTCTGCTCCACAGGGAGCCTGCTTCCTCCTCTCTCTCTGCCTGCCTCTCTGCCTGCTTGTGATCTCTGTCTGTCAAATAAATAGATAAATAAATAATCTTTAAATAAATAAATATCTTCAAACCTGCAGGAATCTGAGAAATAGTGATCATCTGAGTGATTTGTGTACAGGACATCATATTAGGTTGCTTGAGATTTTGGCCAAATTGGCCAGAGGTTTTATTTGCCTTTATGCAAACCTACTATTCATAGGAAACAAGAGTTTCTGAAGAATGATAGGATCCTAGTGGATGAGGAGGAGGAGACTTGTCTTGAGCAGGAATTTCAGAGTCCCTTGTCTTTCCCAAGTAACATCTTGGATCTGGAGTGTTAGAACTATGGCTTCATGAAGGTGGTGAAATAGGAAAGTTCAGGGAAACAGGAGAACTTAGCCTTGCTTGTTCTGAACATCCAAATTATTATCTCTCTGGACCTCATTTTCCTCATCTCTCAAATAACTCCTGGAACAAATGATCCCTAAAATAGCTTCCAGACCTAACCTTCTTTGGGGTCTGATTTTTAACAGGAGACAAAGGGGAAATTGCACATAGGTTACCAGGTCCTTCTCCCCTCCTCTCCACCACAACTCACACCAAACTTCTCCTTGAACTGCTCCTGTCCTCAAAAAGCCTTGAACTCCACAAGTGAATGTGTTGTTAATATTGGCTCACAGTCCTTCCTGGTCAGTGGCCAACATTGTTCTGCTCCTTGCAGGGGTCCCACCAATCTTGTTTGCCTCTGCAGAGCCTCAGCCTGCCTGGAAGATGCCGAGATCGTGCTGCAGCCACCCAGGGGCCCTGCTGTTGGCCTTGCTGCTTCAGGCCTCTGTGGAAGTGAGTGGCTGGTGCCTGGAAAGCAGCCAGTGTCAGGACCTCACCACGGAAAGTAACCTGCTGGTATGTGGGCTGTGGCCGCCATCTTGGTTTGGGCATTGGATGGGACTGTGGCTGGGACTGGGACAGCACAAAAGAAAGGGGACTGGGGAAGGGGAAATTCATTCCCAGAGATATGGGTAACTCAGGGCAGGGTAGGAACAGATCTCTAGGGTAAAGTCAGAATTGAGCCAAGGAGGGGAGGAAGCAGCTTCAGGGAGATGGGGGTCTGGTCCACAGTTTCTACTTAATTATCTTCCTTCCTTATCTTCTTGTATGAAGACCACTCGGTTTTAGCTATTTAGCGATATTGCTGTTAAAATAATAACAATGATAGCAACAGTAATAATAATTGTTCCTGCTATTGATTCTACGTTTTCAATCTTTTAGACTTATTATTCCTTTTTAAATAACCTGTATCACTTGACATTTTCATTCGCTTTCTACTACCAATTATAAAGTCAGTTAGGTGGTACTGCAAATCTTCTCTAGCAGGAGAAGGAAAAACCCGGGTGCCATTTTCCTCCAACTGCCAAATGTCTCATTCTTCTTCTGGAGGACTGACCTGCAGCTTTTCCAGAAGCGTGTAAAAGCCATTTGTGTCAAGCTGGAATTGTGTGTGTGTGTCTATTGAGAGGCATAAATGAGAAATTATACCAAGTTAAGGACTAAAAGACACACTGCCAGTATAAGTGGATGAGTTTCATCCGGCTGCCAGCACCTGCCTGGTGAGGGTAGAATGAACGTCACTACATTCTGTGTGCTTTGTCCATGAAGAAGTTAGTTATGGTGAAGAGAGAAAACTCAGAAACACAGAGGTTTCATGTACAGTACAAAATAGAAAGAGCCCAGGGAATTCTGTCAGTTCTAAGTCAGAGAGAGACCCAAGAGACTGTTGATTGGAGATACCCACTGCACAGCCTCTCCTACTGAGAGCCCACCAGGGAAGGAGCAGTGGCCATGGTCAGAGTTCTAGCCCCAGCTCTGCCACTGAAGAGTCGTAGAAACTTGCCAAGGTCTTTTTACCTCTCTGATCCTCCTGCTTGGTTATGTGTCCAGGGGAGGAGTATGAGATAGCTTTTACTTTCCACTGTTCAGCAGCATCATAATTCTAAATCCCTGGAGTATGAAATTCCCAACTCAGCAGAGTGGGTGGGATCCTTCTGTTTCTTCCTTTGCAGTCCCAAGTAACTGAAAAATCAAGACTGCAGCTATAGGTCATTTTCTCAGACAAATGTGTACCATAGTAGAGTTGTCTGCTTACCGAGAGCAGAGACATATCCTCCCTGACCCAAGCAATGGAAATAATCCTGGTTGTTTACTCCTCCCTCCAGTTAGAATGAGGTGACAGGGAAGGGAACTACTCCCTCCCAAAGCTCACTGATTGGGGAAAGTACTGGATCAGCTCAAAAGACTTGAAAGAACCAAAGAAAGTGCCAGATGGCATGGGAAAAATTTTGAGGCATGGTACAGGGAGATGGCTGGGGTAGGGAATCAGTCAGGTGTGCAGATCATGGGGAAAGGTTGAGGCATTATTGGAAATACAGGCTCTAGAGGCCAGACTTCTATTTCTCTCATCTGAATAGATTCTCCTCCAAATTTCAGGGGTGCCTGGGTGCCTCAGGCAGTTCAGCAGCTGCCTTTGGCCCAGGTCATAATTCCAGGGTCCTGGGTGGAGCCCCACATCGGGTTCCTTGCTCAGCAGGGAGCCTGTTTCACCCTCTCCTCCCGACTCATGCTCTCTTGCTATCTCTGTCTCTCTCAAATTAAAAAAAAAAAAAAAAAAAAGATCCCCCCCCCCCCCCAATTTCAGCCCAATGCCCCTCTCGGACTCACACAGAAGCATATTTATTTATTCGATTTATTCAATATTCATTAAGTGCCAAAGATGACCACCATTTACCATTTTTTGATCAGTGCCTATACATTAAGGTAAGACACTGACCCTGCTCACTAAAGCTCTGGGATAAGTAAACCAACGAATGGGATGGGGGTATTTGTTGTAGCTGCCAGGCAGAAGAACCAAAGGTACAGGGACCAGAAGAGGCGATAGGTCTCAGGCGTCCGCGGACGCCAACAGGACCGGGAGGGCAGACATCCTCGTCCTCGACAGGGAGGCGGCAGCTGCCGAGGCCCCAAGCGCTGCCGGCACGTGCTGAGAGCCGCGGGCGCGCAGGGCGCAGGCGCAGGGCGCAGGCGCAGTGCTGGGTACCTGCCTGAGGGCTGGGCTGCGGGCCAAGGCGGCCCTAACCAACTCCCGACACCCCCCCCCCCCCCCCCCCCCGCCCCGCTCGTCCCCGCAGGCGTGCATCCGGGCCTGCAAGCCTGACCTCCCGGCCGAGACGCCCGTGCTCCCCCGCAGCCGCGACGAGCAGCCGCTGACCGAGAACCCCCGGAAGTACGTCATGGGCCACTTCCGCTGGGACCGCTTTGGCCGCCGGAACGGCAGCGCGGGCCAGAAGCGCGAAGAAGAGGAGGTCGTGGTGGGCGAAGGCCGTGCCCCGCTGCGCGCGGGCGGCCCGGAGCTCCGCGGCGATGGCGGCGAGCCCGGTCCCCGCGAGGGCAAGCGCTCCTATTCCATGGAGCACTTCCGCTGGGGCAAGCCTGTGGGCAAGAAGCGGCGCCCGGTGAAGGTGTACCCCAACGGCGCCGAGGAGGAGTCGGCCGAGGCCTTCCCGCTCGAGTTCAAGCGAGAGCTGGCCGGGGAGCGGCCTGAGCCGGCGCTCGGCCCCGAGGGCGCGGCTGAGGGCTTGGCGGCCCTGGCCGACCTGGAGTACAGCCTGGTGGCGGAGGCCGAGGTGGCGGAGAAGAAGGACGACGGGCCCTACAAGATGGAGCACTTCCGCTGGGGCAGCCCGCCCAAGGACAAGCGCTATGGTGGCTTCATGACCTCCGAGAAGAGCCAGACCCCCCTGGTGACGCTGTTCAAAAACGCCATCATCAAGAACGCCCACAAGAAGGGCCAGTGAGGGTGCCGCGGGGCCAGAGGCTTCTCTCCCCAGGAAGTCTACCCTAAGGGCCCCCTCTCCTCGCCTGCCCTCCCGCCGCCTCCCGGCCTGGGTGTGCTCCTCGCTCAGGCCCTGATGGCCCGATAGTCCGCCTCTTCAAGCTGTCTGTAGTCAGGAAATAAAACCTTTCCAGTCTCACATCTGACTACGGCTCTGAATGTCCACGGGGTGAATAAAATAAAAATACATATCCATCAAAAAAAAAGAGCAGCATATATTGATCGGAGGGACAGTGGTTTCCATGTGACCACGTGGAAGTGTATTTTCTAGGACTCAGTGGGAATGAAGATGTACCCCCGCCCCCATGGGTGTTACAGGAATCGTGTAGGAGCTCCCCTTTATGAAAGAACAAAAATTCAGCTGAGTTAATCTGAAGATCTAATTGGCTTTATTAGGTGATTCATGAGTCTAGTAGCATCCCGTCTAGCAAGTAGAAGGAAGCTCCGAGCGGTTGTACAAGATGGAAGGTTTTTATAGGAAGGAGGGTTGGGCGAGAAGATTATTAGCGAAAGAACTGTTCAGGGCAAGGTCTTTCCCTCGGAGGGAAAAGCAGGGGGGTCTCATGCTGACTACCTAATCTTTGGGGTGGGGGTGTGCGATGTGTGTGCATGCCGGGTGTGCACATTTGCGCGTTGAGAGGGGTGGGCAGCAAAGGGAAAGGACCCATGTGACAGATTACCTGATTGATGCTTATCAGGAAATTCCTGATCAAGGAACTAGATTTACATTTCTGGGGGAAGGTGCAATTAGGTAAGGTATTAAGCCCCAGTTTGGTGACTTGGCTGATGCCATTCTGGGGGCCTGTGGTTTTCTTTTTAACATGTCTAAGAGCCAGCCCAACATTGGTTGAAGCTCACTGTTGGCTGTGAGGTGGGAAGCTGTGGTAACACCTCCCTGAATCCAGCTATCTGTGTGACCTTGGGCAAGTCTCTCTACTTTTCCAAGATTTGGTTCTCTCATCCATCCACCCACCCCTTCCTAGTGTAAGGATTAATGAGAAAAGAGATGTGATCTTTTTATCACTGAGAGGCTACATGTGACAGCTGAGCGTGGCTGACAATTTGGACTTGGCTGCTCTCTCAGGCTACTCACAAATGTCCCCAAACACTTGTTCTAACCTACATAGACAACCCCCCGCCCCACCATGGAGACACACCTGTACAAATATAACACAACATACACAGATGCTTCTTCCAGACCCTTAGGCTCCAGCCTTCATGGCTCTGTCTTCTTGCCCTAGCTATGCCCAGACCCCTTCCCATGTTGCCTAGCCACAGCCTTTCTCTTTAATATACTAAGTGCTCAGCCTCAACTATCCCAACAGCTTCCTAACCAACCCGTGTCCTTGTCTCCAGTCCGTCTCCTTCCTAACCCACCATATACAAGTTCTTCAGATTAATGTATACAAAATCTTGCTTTCCTTACATTCCCTGGTTCAAGAGCCAAAAGTCAGCCCACCCCAATTTGCTCTCAATGTCAGATTTCATGGGCCATGGACTCTCGTCCATCAGCTTCACTCTCCTGACCAAACCCCATTTCCCGTGTTTCCACCGACTGGTCTTCTCATCCTTCTTTTCCTTCCCCCCTTCCCCCTCTGCCTGGAACGAACTCCCCACCTTCCCCCACCATTGTGAAACCCTTTTTAAAAACATGAGCCCAGGCTTGATTCCAGTTCTGCTGGGGAGACTCGTGATCTCTTCCAGCTGAGTCTCCTCATTCTCAGCCCTGGAGGACACACAGTCCGGCTGGATGGTAAGTTCCTAGCTGCACGCATTCTTGTGTTCTCTTCAGGGAAACTCCACGGTCCACAGGGCAAAGGCTTGGGGTTGTGTCTTTTTCTTTCTTTCTTTCTTCTTTTTCTTTTTAAGTAGACTCCAAGCCCAGCACCCCTGTTTTTCTTTCAGATGTCCCATGGCGTTTGTATAATGCTGGGTCATGGATTTACAGCCACACACACTGACAATTCACAAGAAACACAAATACTCACATGCACACAGAGATCCACACATATATGTCAATTACATTAGACATAGCAGTGGATGGTACAGATCAAATCCTGCTGGGCAACATTTGTGTATGGCACGTGCACAGAGATCCCCATATTTTCCTGCTCTAGGAGTTCCTAATACCCTGAGCAATCCTCTGTAAAGGGAATTGGAAAGCTCTATTCTTAAGCCTAAAATCTCCCCTATGGTGGGTTATATAATGGGGCTAGAGTCTAGTTGCTGTGAAGAAGAAATGGCCTAGGCTCTCCCATCAGAATGCTCCCCTGCTGGGAATCCCAAGCCTGGTGTTTACATCTGGGCAGCATCTTTCCCCCTACTCTCCTTCCTTTTTAGGTGCATAAAGTAACGGTAGGTGGAGGCGGCTAAATGGCAGTAGTTAATGTCGGTATTTTCAGATCCTGTTTGCATCCCCCCCCAAACCATGTACTTTAAAGAAACCAAATACACAACCATGTGGTGACAACATTAACATTTATTTGAAAAGGGCATCATGAAGACTCATTGGGAAATCATGACTAATAGTCCTAGAGAATAATCTCGCTAAAGAGTCCTTCTTCGTACAATCCCCCCTTACCCCCACCCTCTTTCCCCTTCCTTGAAATAAAACTAATTTGACTCAATGAGTTTAAAATACAGAAAACTGCCACAGGCACTAATTCTGTGCTCCCACATAAATACGTCAGCTGTTACGTACATAATATTGTCAACTATCAACTACGTTGCACACATGTGTATGCACGTGGGCACACACACTCTCAGCCAGGTCAGGAGGGTCTAAGTGGACACAGACACGTTGTGATGTACGTGTAATGCTGTAGTATTGTGGATTTCCAGCTCTGTACTCCACAGGCCAGAACCGACGGTCATGGAGGAAGAACTCAGAAGGGGAAGGGGATGGCCGAGGCCCCAAGGTCCCCTGAAGGAGAAAAGACCAGGTCAACCTGGCCGTGCTAAAGGAGAGCCCAGAAAACTGCCCTCTGTCCCCAATGGGCCACTGAGCCCCATCCACAGTCCGTGTCTCCTCCCCACCCCCTCAGCTGGCCAGGCCCACCAGGACCATCCTGCCACAATCTTCAGACGTAGGGTCACTTTAACCAGAAGATTTCTAGGGGATGGAGCAGCAGCACAGGACCCTAAACCTCCTCAGACACCATAAGATACCATGTTTCAGCAGGATCTGCCTGCCAGGGTCTGTGGGTTAGGAAAAGCAGGCATGATCTGCTCTCGTGAGCTGTCCTCCCTGTCTACCTCTATTTTTTATTTTTAAATATCTTATTTGACAGAGACAGAGAGACAGAGAGAGGGAATACAAACAGGGGGAGTGGGAGAGGGAGAAGCAGGGTTTCCAATGAGTGGGGAGCCCAATGCGGGGCTCGATCCCAGAACCCTGGGGTCATGACCTGAGCCAAAAGCAGATGCTTAACGACTGAGACACCCAGGCGCCCCTTTCCTATCTTCCTTTAAACTTAATACTCGGCCTTACACACACAGGCCTTCTCCTTCCCCAGAGATCCCCACAGGCCAGTTGCCATTTTATGGTCACAGAAAAGGATTGGAAGAAACAGCCTCACTTCCCGGTGACCCTCCGTGTGACCAGGTCAGAAGGCCTGAGGACCCTGTAACAGCAACTGGAAGCTATCATGCCCCAGGGGCCCCCAGAGAAGCCCTAAGTTCTGGCTTTGAGCTGTTTCAAGGTACCCCAAGCTGCTGTGATTCTTAGGCCAACTGAAACATGTTCTCTGGGACCCAGGCCACCCAGGGCAAAGGGCAGCGTGTGTGTATGGTCCTCGTACTTCTCCATCCAGCACTGTGGGTGGTCCCCGCCCACTTTTCACTGCCCATCCGTCTATTTGTGGGAGAGGCTGGACAGAGGACAGCATCTGAGGGAGCACCTTTCTAATTCTTCTCACTTCCTTGGGTTCCTCCTTTGGTGAGGAGGCATTTAGGAGTCAAAGAACCACTTATCTCTGCTTTTCAGAGAGAGGAAAATGGGAACGGGCACAAGGGCACCAGGGACCCTACTGAAAGGAAAACAAGGAGCCTCCAGGATCCTATGGGGACTGTCTGTTGAGCTGCTTCTTACCCACTTACATGATTCAACCAAATTAACAGGACCTCTAAAGTCTCAAATACATTCATGCCTTAAGTGATGCGAACAGAGTGGTAACCAGCCCTGCGCCTTGGCCTTAAAGCAAGAGTCCTCTGTGGCTCCCAGAAGCCGCTGCTTTGGATGGACTTTCTGGCTCAAGCCAGACAGAGAGAGGCAGGACGCAGTGTCAGTCACATGACACAAGGCAGGCGGACGCCAGAGGGCTTAGAAGGCAGTAAGCAGTGACTTTAAGCCCAAGGCCTGGGTGCCCATCACAGTCTGCTTCGCCCCTCTCCCTGGGCTCACAGGAGGGGAGTGTGGGTGTGAAGGACACTCCACAGTTTACGGAGTAATCGTTCGAGATAAATCACATTATGGTTTCTGACTCTGAGGCGTATCTGGCTAGGATCCAGGTCCTACTTCCTGTGCTGGCAATCCAGTATTCTACCGAATGTAAGTTTCTAAATTGAAACTGAGAAGAGGGCCCTCAAGAAATGGCTAGTTCCCCCAAAAGAAGCGCATCTTTGCTAAGCTCTGGTGAGGTAAGGAAAGAGCTGCTGTGGACAGAGACAGGGGTGAGTGTAGGAAGAAGAATGGTAACCGTGCATCTGCTTCCTCACTCCATTCCCAGGGCGGAAGAGGGAGGGGCATCCGGGTGGGCCTACAGATCTCTGGTTCTGGTGCTGGGTCTAGAAAGAGGCTCCAGCACCACCACATCCCAGGCCCAGGCCCAGGACCCCAAGGGTATGTCCCAGGGTGCAGCTGCCATGAATTAACCCCAAAAGTCAAGTGGACACAAGAAAGAAATAGGGTTTCTCATCAAAGCCAAGCAGGGGATACAGATGGAAAGATCTGGTAAGGAAAGACCCGTTTGTGGCTCCAGATTGAGAGTTTCTTTAAAGTTTCTTCCAAAGGTCATTTGCCTTCATATTTTTATTTTAATTTTTTTTTCTTAATAAAGAGACAGTAAGGTAAAGAAAAGTCAAAGTTCATGCTTTATAAATTTGGGCTGAGCATTAGTTAAGAGCCAGAGCCAA